AGACAGAACACATATTTGACGAAGTTTGCTTTTAACAATTTTCCGTTGAAATTTCGGCGGGCTTTATGCTAGTGCGTTTATATAATTACTAGGGGACTAATTTATGGTTGACCACGCCCACAATACACAGTATCAGTCCGATAATTCAATATACGTAATTATGTAATGAAAGTAAAAGCAAAGCAAGCTCTGTAGTTTTCCTTCAGCGCATCTCGTCTCTGCTAAATTTGCAGTATGTTATAGTCTACAAGCAGTCTGTTCGAGACCCGGCAAGACCAGTCGATACACTACAAGAGAAAGTGGAATGTTCCTGCCGATCGATAAGAGCCTCGGGGGTCAAGAACCGCAACCCTCTGGACCGCGCCCAGCATCCATCCCTCCGCCACCCCTCTCCAGCGGGAGGAGATTAACAGATCTCTGCAACTCGGTTCCAGATACCCACCTGGTTGTTGTTCTTATACAGTGTCGTACTTTCTGCAGTTAATTCGCATAAAATTAAATAGGAAATGAACATACGGAACATTGGGCGCGGCCTGATTTCTTCCGTGGAGTGGGGGTGGGGGTAGGCATAAAATTTACTTACAGACTTACGCTTAAGCTGCCTAAAACTATTCTCACTGATCGCCCTGTAGTATTCAGGACAGATGAATAAGACTTTTTCTTTATTGCTAGTGGGGTGGGACTAAGTCCCTTGTACTGCGGCCACTTCTGGCCGATTGTACCAGCCCCAGATGATAAGTGAGGGTGATTGTGGAGCAATCGGTGAAATGAAGATTGGCAGGGGAAACCGAAGTGCTCGGAGAAAACCTGCCCCAGCGCCACTTTGTCCACCACAAATCCAACTTGACCAGACCCGGGATCGAACCCGGGCCGCCGCGGTGGGAAGCCAGCGACTAACCGCTTGAGCTATGGCGCGGCCTGAATAAGACTTAAAACAAATTTAGTTTTTGGTATTAATATTTGATATAAAACGTAGTTTTACCTGAACTTAATTAAGTACCGCGGCATGGAGACGTATGTGGGAGTGGAGTTATAATTTCAGAATTCTTAACCTCGGTATTAGGCGGAGGTGAGTCGTTAGATTCACGCCACTGCCACTTTGCCCCTGAGGAAAAAGTCCTAAGCACCCATTCGATACGAGGCTGGGCGGATCCAATATACGGTTTTGACGCTTTGGAGAAGAAAAATTTATGATATTTAATGATTACTGTTCTATCCTCAATACCGTAGGGTGAAAAATGAGAATGGCATTTAGGCTTAAACGTGAAGTTTATAAACAAATCCCCCCCCCCTTATCGTAATGAATCCTCGCGCACCACATGGCGCGGGCGTACGTGTATATCCATGTCCTACTTATTGCAGAAGAATCCCTTCACCTCTTTCCTCCAGGTCCAGTAATTTCACTGTTTGTGTTCCGATATTCTTCGTACGTGACAGAGAGCAGGTTGACCATCTCGATACCTACACGTGCCTGGGGAACAGGTTCCTATGCCACGCAAGTGAAGCTCGCAGACGTTTGTTGTCTGCCATCTTGTTCGTTAGCTTTGATGTGGAAAGGCAAAATGAAAGTCTTATATTGTTAAATAACATTACAGCATGAGGAATCTGAGGATCTCACGGCAGTGAAAGCTTGTATTCTGATAGAATTTCACCGACATTTCGGAGGAATGTACTGCTTCCAACTTCAGGGACGAAGAATAAGCCAAATGCGCAATAGCAAGAAGCGAATAGAAACAGATCTCTGCTTGATGCTTGTTTGGGTTACTTTTCGATCCAAAAGATGGAGGCAATACGTTCCTCCGAAACGTTGGTGAAATTCTGTCGGAATATGGGGCGTCACATCTCCCAGGGGAACGTGGAATTAAAATTTCAAATGGAACTTAGACTGAAATTTGAATCTCATGCCCTTTTGGGACGTGATGCAGTAAGGGTTTGGAAACCTTAAGTGCTAAGTTGTTACAGGCTCAAAATAGGATCTCATGGCAAGCTTCTGAGGATAAACTTTCGGAACTAGAACGACAGATTTTTGCAAAGTACCTTACCAGGATGCAATTTAATTGTAAAAATGGGGCGAGAGGTGTGAAGTGAAACTGTTTTTTGGTTTGTATCGATCCAGTAGCTCTCCATTTTACACCAAGTTCGCATTGAATTCCATACATCTTCCCCAAAAGACTCACCGTACAAAAAGTTGGGTAAATTAAAACATGCATATCATTAGAACGTACAACTTTTGAAACACTTTTCTATAAGGTATATAACGAAACACAACGAAAGGTATTCTACCTCTATGTACGCAATACCCAGCGTGACAAGTTGGACAGAGATTCATAAGGTAAGGCAAAGTTGTCTCTGTGCTTAATTAATTAAGTACTACGCCATGAAGACGCATGGGGAAGTAGCTGTATAGATCCACGCATTCTTCACCTCTTTACTAGTTGGAAGCGAGTGGTCATCTTCACGCCCCGGCCGCTTTATCCACCGAGGAAAGAGTCCCCGATACCCACTGGATAGGAGGCTGGGTAGGCCCCAGAGCCGGTCTGGACGAAGTGAAGAGGAGTAACTCTACCCCTTTGCCATCCAGCTCGTAGCCCGTCAGTACACCGACTGCGCTATCCACAGGAAATGAGCATGAAGGCTAATGGGGTCCGTATCTCCGCAAGAAACACAGAAAGCGACAAAGCTTTCGATTTATATTCCAGAGTTTCGCGTTCAGATCTCGGCCGGGACAGTGTCTATCCTGAGTTTCTTCGCCATTTTTCCCAGTCCCTCCTCTTAAATTCCGGCATAATGCCTTAAACTAGGCCATGGCCGTTTCTTTCCACTTCTCTTCCAATTCACTGCACCCTGTTATAACTGTAAAACTATTTAATCTACTTCGTGCTCCACCGAACTGCCACCCATCGATCTGTATGACACAATGCCGATCACAGGCCACAAAAAGTGACACATGGTTGCACTGACCGTTAGCTTCGTTGTGTCCTTGCCGCAAGCAGCCGAAAGAAGAGTGGAAAATTACAGTGAAACCGCAAGTTTAACGATGAACGATAAGAAACCGGTTAGGGGAAGTCGCCCGGCACGAACCTAATCCTGCAGTGGTTTACAGCTGTGTTTCATTTTGACTTAGGATTAAACAATCAGAAATTTAAATAAAAGAAGGATGAAGGGGCGGTTCTGGTGGGAGATTCCCTGAATGTTTTGCTAAAGCAGCATTGCTTCACAAACCCATCGTTTTTTTTTTCAGCAAAAACTTATACGTTTACTGAAACATGTGAGTCAGTGCCATGGAAACATAAGCGTAGAGGAATATTAATCAATTTAAATTGCATATTTAAGTCTCTAGGCCTTTGTTCTAAATAAGGAATTCGTTGTTTTCTGCTTAGTCGCGTGACAAGGTCCAGAAACTACCCAGCGCTTTAATTTTAATGGATTGATCACTTATAGACAGTGTATGCAAATACATGACCGCCTTTGTGGTCTGGTGGTCAGAGTTCCTGGCTACATATTCAGAGGACCCGGGTTCGATTCTTGGAGCTACCAGATATTCTGATAAGTAGTGGGGATGGAACGGGGTCCATTCAGCCTCGTGAGGTTAATTGAGGAACTATTTCAAGGAAATAGCAGCTCCGGTCTAGAAAATCGAGATTAACGGCAGTGGGGATCCGTTGCGCTGACCACGCAACACCCTCTATCCGCAAAAATTGGCACTAACTTCGCTAACAAGCGGCGGTCGCTTGTTCGGTATAGTTCGCTTGCGGATTACAGGCCACGGAGTTAGCATACCACGCATATTATGTTCACTCATCCATTTGTACTGTACAATAACGTTATTTATGTGATGCAGATTTGCAATTTGAATTTAATTAACACGAAATATAAGCAGAAGAGAACGCACAAGAAATCAGATAAGTGCATGAAGAGAAACAAACATAAGTATACTATTGCGTTCTAGGCCGAAGTTACAACCCATAAGTCACAGGTATAAATAAGTTATTTCTAATGCTTCTTAATTTATACTTTACCCATCAGTACAGCAATCCCAATCGCCAAGGATTTCTTACATAATTTCTATTTTTTTTCTAACACACCAAAGTACAGAAACTTTATTGTCATTTCTGTCTTCGTACAAAAGCTAAGAGCCATTTTTGAAAAGTGATCCTCTGTATATTAAATGACGTTTTTTTTATCAAATTTGTTTCGCAGAGACACGTGCCAAAACAATTTACCAACTGAGTAGAACAGAGTTTTCAGAAGTAAATAGTCACCCTACAATATTCCCTGCCATTTATGGAACCAGAAAGTTCATTACCGTCTTCACAAGGGCCCGATTCTGAATCTTACCGTATCAAAATATAAGACATAATGAAGTGTGTTCGTTGGTTGATTGATTTCTCATCTCTCATCCTACCATTCCCGTTTTCTTACAAAACTGTTGCACGCGTACTGAAAAACTGACAGTGTGTTGCTTACTTTACTAACAGCAAAAATATAGTCTAACATACACCAGGGACAGCGAATACGAAACAGACTCATATTGCATTACCCCGACGCGAAAATTAATGTAAAATATAGGTAACTTTGACGATGTTGTAAGGTTGCCATGGAATTCCTACGTTGTGGAAAATTCGGATTTCTTGTAAGCACATTAAAACAATTCTGGCCAAATCGGAATACTACAAAGAATGATTTTGGTAGCAAACACTTTAAATGCAGTCTTAAGAGAAAACTCCATCTAATGCCGAGGTCAAGAATGGTGGTGATATACCTCCACTTCCTCATATGTCTTCATGGCATTTCGCTTATTTAATTAAGCATAGAAACAATTCTGCCTTTTTTTAACCGTAAGAAATAACGTCTTTAATAACATCGTTGTTAGCGTACCTTCAGATGCGATTCGGAGGACGTTAGCAGTGCTACTTGCGGAGTGACGATGAACTTTAATTCCGAACCACAGCTTTAGATAATCTGTGCCGATAGCATCCATGACGATGAGGGAAATTTAGTTCCGTCGAAGGAGTCAAGACGATCAAGACAAATCGAGTACAATCAGTAACAAAAATGACGGTGTGTCTCGTCCGTGGTTATGAAATATTTTAATTGCAAGCTATTGATTATATGGAGAGACGATGTCAGAATTTGAAAAAGGAAGGGACATGAGACAAAAGAAGTACTTTTCTGTGAATAAGGTTGTAATTTTCATATGTATATATGGGGCTTGGCACATTTTATAGGTTAAGGTACCCTTAGTAGCTTTGAATATATATGACAGCATAATTTATTGCAGACGGATTATTTAACCATTTTCATGTAAGAATTCGACTGTAGTAATTATACGATACGGAAAACTAATTCTTTAATTGAGGTTTTGGATTTCTTATCAGAACCACAAGTTAGATATGCTATAACTCTTTCCAGAACACCAAAAACTGGCAAAATATTTCTCTAAAATTAGGTCATTGCCATGAACTATACAGTAATGTACCTCTTAAACTAATAGAATTTATTGTACAGGACAGGAAAGATGGAAACCGGCGACTGCCAATCATCCTAGCAAAGCCTGAGCGAGACATTGAGAGGGATAAGGACAGGACAGGAGACAAGAGCATGGGAAAGTCCTTAGAGCGCCCACAGTCCCAGCCAACAATAATCCTTCGCACAAGGGAAGGAGAGAATAGGGCTGTTTCTCCAAGTCAGCGTCCAGCTGCTGTTCTCAGGTACAGCAACCAATAGTTGGATCTACAGGTTGGATGCATATCTGCTTTGTGCTAGTAAAGCAAGCACATGACCATAACATCATGACTGAACAACGCATTTTAGTTTGTTTGAAATTGGAGGTAGTTTTTGCTTATCTTGCACTGTGCAGCTTCAGTCCAGTGGCGTGTGGTACTATTTTTGGTATGGGGAGCAGTGGTATCTAATAAACGAACTGATATCAATCAACTCACCAAAATTTATGTCACTTATTGAGTCAGTAAGGTTGTTTTGTATTCTGTTCGATAATTCTGTAAATACTGTACTGTTCTCAAGGTCAACATTGAGTTTATGATCATATTTCCTCAACAAGTGAACTAATTCCACATAATTACCTCGGTCGATAGAATGCACGCTTTTGTCATGACCATGGAAGGCAAGTTGCCTCTTTCCTAAATGGCAGATGATATCAATTAAGCGTTTCATTATTTCTCTATTTTCTTTCACATTTTCATTATGCTGTAGTATCGTCAGGTGCTTTTGATTGTCAACTTGACAGTCAATTCAAGATTTCCCAAACATAACAAGTTGCATTGTTGAAATAATATGAGTCTGAAAGTTCTCATGTCGTTTCAGTGCTTTATGAAGATTGTTGATATCACCAAAGCCAGTCTTGTTCCATACATTTTTTCATTGAGAAACAATAGGCATGGCCAACAAAAGAGTTTTCCTATATTACCGCAACCTGATAGCCACTCTGTTTTAGAATACTGTTCAAAAACCTTGTGTAAACCTGGTATGTGTGTTTTACAGGAAGGAATGTGAAGCGCAGCAACCACCACTGTACCACCTTGCGGCCAAGCATGCCGGAGGAGAGAGTAAGTGCAAGAATGCGAGCCGTGAGGTTCCTACAGTGGTAAATGTGAAGAGTATGGTTTTCTTGGAGGCCATGTAATCTGGTGGATGTTTACCGATGTTCCAGAGGAACATACTTCCACCATCTTCAGGCTCAAAATTTTGTGTTGGAAACACTTTTTATTCTGATAAATATTTAGTGAATTGTTCTTGAAATGTTCAGGGGCTCACCTGGTCTCCTATTCAATGGGTAGTGTGGGTTCTTTCCCTGGAAGTGTAGCAGTAGGGTTGTGAAGCTGACAACTCACCTCCAACTAGTGCCCAGGATCATGAATTGTGGAGCTATACCTCTACTCCCACATATGTCTTCATGGCATAGTGCTTAATTAATTAAGCACAGGGACAACTTTAGCTTTTACTCTTGAAATGTGTGCAAAAGTGCATCTAGGTCTTTATGTGAAGTGTCTGTTATTGTTGCCTGATGTTAGTAAAACTAATATGTATACAAATGTTAGTAAAACTTCACTAAATCATATTTCACAGAAGTTTGTTCAGTGCTTTTCCAGCTGTTACATATGGAGAGACATGGCAGAACAATTAGGCACATTTTTTCAAATTTGTTTTGACAACATATGAAGAAAACAGTAGTCTTCTTTTCTAATGTATCAGTTGTCCTAATTGTGGTTACTCTAATATTAGCTCCATGTCATCAAAATAAGCGTACCTGTTTCTGTTGAGTGACCTGAATCTTCCCACAGATGTTAATCCTCTGGCTCCACCACCAGAGATGAAGGGCAGCATCAAGTTGGTGGATGAAACATTCCTATTTTGTGATGGGCCGTTGGAGTTTCTACTAGACCAAAATGACTTCATGGTGGTTGGCTGTTTGGGACTGCAGGGTGCTGGGAAGTCTACCCTCATGTCTGTTCTGGCAGGCAACCATCCTGATGAGGCCAGCAAGTGAGTTGCTGTTCAAAAAAAGGTTCATATGATTTCTTGTGTGACATGAGTTATATCATTTCATCCACCATGGCACTAGCTGAGAGTGTATGATGGCAAAAGGTGTTCTGTGAATAAGAAAATAAAGAAATGGCCACAAACAAGACGAACACATAATTTGTACAAATCTGTGATACTAAAGGTTGGATTTCAGGTTCTCATAGCAATGACTATGAAGAGTACAGCCTTCTGGGATGTAATGCCATGTAGATTGGTAGAAGTCAACAGACGTTTTGGAGGAACATATTGCCTCCATCTTTAGGGTTGAAGAATAGGCCAAGTAAGGAACCAGCATTAAGCAGGCAGCAAGCAGAGTCTGCTTATTATTGAGTGCTTGCTTAGCTTACTGCCTGATTCCAAAGCTTGAGATGATTTCTCCCTTTGAAAATGTCAGTGGGCTTCATCCAAACTACACAGTATTATAACCCAGACGATGATACATTTCAATAAATGCTCCTGTTCAGTAATTTTTTTTAATTCGCTTAGTGAGGGGTGGAGTCCAGCTGGGTCCACTTGGCATGGCAGCCATTGATTGGCCTATTGTACCTGCCCTGGGTGATTATGATGATGGAGAATTTGGTGGAATGAAGATTGGCAGGGGAAACTGAAGTACTCGGAGAAAACCCACCCCAGCGCCACTTTGTTCACCAGAAATCCCACTTGACCAGGCCTGGGATCGAACCCGGGTCACTGCGATGCTCATGTTCAGTAAATCTCCTGTTCAGAAATCCATTTATTTATTTATTTAAAAATCTTGCAGGTGTTGTTGGGCAATAGGAAACTGTGTGGCTTCCTGCTACTTAAAAATAATCTGATGTTCAACTCCCGTCACCATAAGACAGTCATTTCTACATGTGGTGTTTCTCTTGTGATTTTCTGTACAAAGCATGGAAATAGTGTTGTATGATTACAGGAACTTCTACTTCAAGCCACAGAGCTTAGAGCATCATGAACTGGGTGGACACTGCACAACGGGTGTCGACCTGCTTGTGACATCAAATAGGGTCATCCTGCTGGACACACAGCCCATGCTTTCAGCCTCAGTAATGGACCGGTTGGTGCAGCAGGAGAACAAGAAGTTTTCTGGAACAGAGTTCGCATCCACAGAGAATGCCATGGAGATACAGTCCTTGCAGTTGGCTGCATTCCTTCTCTCTGTCTGTCACATTGTCATATTTGTGCAGGATTGGTTCTTTGACCCTAACTTTCTCAGGTGCAACACCACTAGCAATTTATTGAAGACATTCCTGCATGTTTTGCTGTTGTCAAGAATGACATTGTATAGTAGGATATGTTTATTCTTCAGTATCCTGGTAACCTCCGATACAAATGTAACACAAATCACTGAACAGGTTGGTGTAAGATTAATGCTTTGACTCTTATTCTTTTTTTTTTTTTTTGGGGGGGGGGGGGGTGTTTTTTTTTTCTGGT